AAATATACACACAAACTAAATACAAGTACATAATTATTTAAGTGAATACCCGCCTTGCATCATTTTACACAAAATCTGCACGTTTCTAGTGTTTCACAGTGAAAAATACTATCTGTGTTACTTTTTAGTAAATGTTAGAACCGATCTCAAGATTTAATAATCCAAAACCAGTAGAACTTGTTTCACATTTGCTTATTAGATAAAACATTAAATTACTAGCATGCATAGAATTCCTGTGTTGAAGACCTCATGTGGTAAGAAGCAAAAATCCCAGTATCACTACAGAATACTTTTAAATCAAATTAAAACACAATGTAAAATGTATGAAATAATAAAAGAAGATAAATGAGAACTACACTACTGCAAATATGTACTAACTGTTTCTGTAAAAGAGAGGTACAAATAAGATGTAGAAAAAAAAGAATTCATAAATCATCACTTTCATGGCCATTAACTGGTCGCATGGCACTTAAGGTATTAAACCAAAAATTAGTAGTAAGGGGTATTTAAGATATGAATGAAGGCTCTGTGGACTGGCTTATGCAGGATATTCAACTTTTTAATAGGCTACATTAAAAAAGGGGGACAGGTTCTAGCAAATGAACTGAGCACTTTGATGACAAAACATAGAATGAGAACGGACCCTGAGTTCTGTCAGTACGTAAAAGAGAGACAGGATTGTACTAGCTAGGATTGATTATTAGCTTGTCTGTCATGCACCAAATTAGAGACCAACAGGCTGGAAGACGAAGGTGAAGAGATCAACATGACCAGACTTAATAATATTTTCCATCTCTTTTTGAATTACGAAGTTCATCAGAGCTCAGAATGGAAATGGTATGGTTGCAGATACGGGAAAGAATGTTTTAGATAAGTTAGTCATACAATAATAGAAAAAGATTCATTCTTGAATATATAATACTGAAGAAATAGCAAAACTTAGGTATGGCCTGGTTGTGCATATCTACAGAAATGGAAATTTTTATGATGGCACTGAATTATTGGCTTGAATGTTTTGGAAAGCAATGGTGCCATCAATGGTGAGAGCTTGACAAACAAAGATTAACACTTGGAACAACCCATTTTAGTTTCGAAAAATTTAAGTTGATATATACTTAACTAGAAAAATCACTCATATTACAAACCAGCTCCTGAAGTTCTTGCTGTTCTAAAACTTCTGCGGAAGTGAGAAGTTTCTCAAAGTGAGGACTCGAAGGTTTGTCTCCTGCCAAGGTGTGTGACAAACTTCCCCAGAGGAGCCTTCTGGTGAGGTGGAGGGGAAAATGCCCTGAAACGCCAACTGCCAAAGAAGACGACTCCTGCCACTTAAACTGGATTTTTGCATCCAAATTTGCAGTGTTTTGTAATTATCAATTAATTCATTTACTTGAATCACCTGTTACAAAATGGTGAGTTTTGACGTCACTCTTCCTCTGTATTTACCCTCTGTTTCTTCCCCCACTATGATTACTCAGCTGCAAGCCAAGGAGAAAAGCAGTTCACTCACAGAATATAAATGAAACAGGAAGAATATGTTAAACTAAATCCTTGTCAACAACACAGAAGGTAAAAAGTGTTACTATATCATGTATCCATGTCTGCTATTTCTATTACCAGGGACAGGGAACATTAAGTCTTCATAGTCACTTGAAGCCCTAGCATTCCTTTGGGTCTTCAAAAATAAACATTATATACACCAAACGTTTCAATACTGAATAAAGAATCTGAGACTGCTCCTCACTACGTACATACACAGGTCTGGCTCTGCACGGTTTGCATATACTCAGTGTCGTTTGACTCCATATGTTCACATTTTTTTTGTCTCAGGATACAGGCAAAGAGATCAGTATATGTTCATATTTGCTGACAACCAAGTGATACACGATCCACATAGTTAAAGATCATACATTTAAGAAAGGACAGAAATAGCAGAAAGTAAAATTATTTGCTCTTCTGTGAAGTCAAAACTACAGATGTAACTGCTGCTATGCTCCTACTGGTCAAAAAGGCCTAAATGATAAAACTTCCAAGTCAGCAGCCGTAATCTCAAGCCATTCCTCCTCGCTGTGACATGGCTTTGTGTTACTGCCCTACTATTCAATTCCTTCTGCAATTCCTAATAATAATGATTTCCTTTGCATTCTCCAGTGTTATCTTCTGTCTAAACACAGATGCCCTCAGTGGCATTAACCACTGACTTGTTCAGGTAGGAAGAGACTCCTGGGACATTTCTTGTCCAACCTCTTGCTCAAAGCATGGTCACAATGAATTCAGGCCAGATCGCTCAAGGTTTTCTCAGTCAAGCCTTGGAAACTTCCAAGAATGGAGGTTACAAAATCTCTCTGAGCTATCTGCTTCACTGCGTAATTAACCTTACACATTTTTTTTCTTCTATATATCCAGTCAGATCCCCCTATTTCAGTTTGTATCTGCTGTCTCTCCTCCTACCGTGCACCACTGACTCCATCATATAGACAACCTCCCTGCCAGCCCTGCCAGCCTGCTGTTAGGGTCCCCAAAGCCATCTCTTCCCCAGGCTGAAGAAGCCCACCTCGCTCACCTCTCCTCACAAAGCAAGTCCTCCAGACCCACTCATCCTGGTGACTCTCCCCTAAACTCGCTCCAGTTTATCCATGCAGTTCCTGAACTAGGGAAATCAGATTAATCAGCTCTTTCTTTTCACATGGAAGCATTAAGCCTATCTTTTATTCTCATCCTGAAACAAAAGGGAACTTCTGTGCTCCTGGGTATGGGTTTAAGGCCTATTTCATTGGTTAGAGATGAGGCTCAACCATTCATTATAATATAAGATCACCTCTCCTGTGCTGCTAGACAGCCCTTAATGTTCAACATTCTTTAAGCAGTCCATGTGCTAGGTTTAAACAATGTAAATAGCTTTGAATCAGTCTTCTGAGCCAGAAGAAATTAACCTTTATCATGAAGATTACCCTCTAACTCTATGACATGATCAAAACCCCAGCTTTTGTTGATGTCCTAAGAACAGGTATATTGAGCTGGACTAACTGAAAGATAATAACTGGGATAACTGAAAGACTGTGCAGCTTCCTATATTGACCTTTCAGTGCCAACAGCAAACCCTCTGGAGAACGTGGAAAGCTGAAGAAGCTTCCCTTGCAAATCGTGCCCATTTCTGGCACTCCCCTGCTTAGGGACCTTCTGAGCTGGAGGTTGTCTCTCTATCAGAGTGCTTAATACTGCCTGACAGACCTTTCATCCATGAACTTCTCTATTAATTTTTAACATATGCATGATCTGCGTATTCAAATCATTCTAAGGTAAGGATATCTACTTTTTAAACTGTATGAAGCAGTCCTTTCTGAGTCCACTGCTTGTTAATCTATTTGGTGCCCAATTTTCTTGACACAAGCATGACTAATTGTTCTCTATTCACTGTTCCTTGTGCCAGTCAGAACTTTTAAAATTCTATAATTTCTCCTTCAGTAGCATCTTTTCCAAGATGGCGATCCCAAATTACCTACTTTTTTCTGTGCACAGAAGCTATTCCTCACTTTGCTCATGCTCGTCCTCCTCTAAACTATCTCAAATTCTCTACGTAAAAACAGCTCACTGTTCATGAAGTGCAATGACAATTTGGTTGTCTATCCCCTTCCTTTTTTGTCAAAAGCTAAACTTACTGGCAGCTTTGCCATTAAATTCAGGGGGTCAGAATTTAATCCATTGTTTTGCTGACTCTCCATCTAGTTTCCTCAGTTCATCCTGGGAAAATCACCAAGCATTTTGCTTCCAAGCTTATGCCTTGGTTGCAGTTTTCCCTTATACAGAAGACTAGAAGTATCTCTAACAGTTTAGAACAAATATGCAGAAAACAGTACTTTCGATGTTCGAATATGATCAAGCAGTCAGTTCATTATTTGACTAGTACCATGAGAAAAACACTGGGGAAATCTCTTTTTATTCTGACTGAAAATATCAGGCAGAAAGTTTCAGGGCAATAGAGCAGTTGACACACATTTTTGTTGTGGGAAAGCTCACACATTTCTATTGTGGAAGTTCACATTGTCTTCATTCTTATCAGCTCATACAGAACTGTAATTCAGATTCAGAACAGCTTTTAATTATTGTTTATCAGAAAAAGCATTTTAGAAATAAATTGACCTTGAAGGTTTCTAATCATTTTTAGAGCCCTCATTATAGAAAATGTTACTGACCTACACTCTCACTCTCCTGGAGAAATGAATCACCTCTTCTGCCCTCGGACTCCTTTTTTAAAATTCTGTTTTTGTTGAAGTAAACAAACCGAGAACAGAAGAGAAATGAACCTCCATAAACATTATTATGCAGTCATTAGTAATGTATTAAAAGAACCACCACTCTAAATTATTCCATAGATTAATTCTAAATTTCTAACTCAACTATTTATTTTCATTTAGCATGTTGCAACCTTTTAAAAGATCATCTCTGTTCCAAATTAAAAAAAACAACACCCCCCCCTTTTCCCCTACTTCAATACTACCACAGCAATAAAAGACACACATGTCTTAATGCACAGATTAGCTATTCCTCTCCACCTTGTGACAGTTCTATGCTTTCACAAAGAGTTTACTAATCCCAAATGATGCCAGTTTTTTCAATGCCTGTTAGAAACTCTCATGTTCTAGGGACTGGGTTTTGCTTAGGAGAATGATCCATTTTAAGTGCATCAATTATTATTATTATATATATTACTTAAACATTTTGATTTATATAAATTATTTTGTGGAACTTCTTATAAAAAATATTGTTACGAAGGACACGATAAACAGACACAAAAAGTGATTTGACAAATTGATGGTACAGTGTCCTGGTTTTGGTTAAAACAGAACCGATTCTCTTTCAGTGAATCTTCCTTACAGCAAAGTTCTTCTAAGTAACTGCGTTTTTCTGAAGCTGGCTGCATACTTTACAGACACTGTCCGCTCCAAAGCTGAGAACACCTGATGTTTATAGTCACACTGAGTTAACAGCAGGAAAGGAAAGGAATGCAGAAAAAGGCCCCTGCCGTGCAGGTCACACTTGGTTTAAAGCTGGGAGATCATGAGGGTCTTGCTCTCCTCGTCCATGGCCGCCTTCTGAAGAGGACCCTGCTTGTTGTCCTGCCTACGATCCTGATCCAGAATCCGATCCATATGTTCCTGAGTTCAGTTCCTGCCCACTGCCAAGTCCAGTCCGGAGCTTCTGGTGCTGCCCGGCAGCTGCTGGTGGGACACCAGCGCCCCGGCACCCAACTCCGGGAAACTCAGTGTCGGTTTTGTATATTTTGCATTATTTCTCTTATTATTCATATTATTAGTATTATTAGTAAAACTTTTTATATTCAATTCGTAAGTGTCTCTCTTTTCCTCCTTTTCTCTTCCTCTGGTGGGATGGTGGGGGTTAATAGAGAGCATCTGCCACTCAGTTTATTGACACCCTGCTTTAAACCGTGACATACAGAAAGCCTATCTTTAGCCTCCAAAAATGATGATTCAACCTTTGACTCGGGTTCCCTGAAGAACAGCCTGCCAGTTCTTCACCTGCCAGCTGACAGGTACACTGGGAGGAACACCACGGTATGCTTACCTGCTTCATATAAGCTTTCCCTAAGTTCCACTAAACATTGAGAAAACCTTTTTCCCAACCCAATCGGACTATTTGTCTTTTCTCAGTGTGACATCATTACTTCTTTTGAAAACTGTTCTCTTCCCTACGCTTACCCAAACTAAGAACTGAACTGACTTAAACCAAATTTAAGTCAAAGTGGAATTTTCGCTATGTTCATAAAACTATGCCTTGTCCCTATTTTTCATGTAAATGTTGAGCCACTGATACAACAGTACAAAGTACTGATGTTGAATAAGGTTTAAAGGGAAAATGAGGTTTCTCTCAGTAAAAAGGAATGATAGACTGCACTAAAGCCAAGCACTCTGAAGACATCAGCATGATTGGGAAGCTTGAAACAAGATAACATTTTGGGATGAGAAAACAATACAAGGAGATACATCATAAACAAATACAATAATAATACAAATAAATATATAAACAATACAAGGAGATACATACATCACGATGTTCTCTATTAACCTAGCGATAAACAATGTCCAAGTTAATTTTGTGAATGCCTTCCAAAATATTTGTTCATTATCATGCAGACTGCCAGATTCCAATTTTGTCCGTTGTTTTTTTTTTTTTTGGTCATGCATGAGACCCTGGAAAGTCTTGTTCACAGAATGAAAATCAACTCTTAAAGAAGAAAACCAAAGCTGTGCTACTGGTTAACTAAACCTAAGTAAGCACTGAAGTACACTGATGGAAGCAAAGATGCCTGCATTGACACAATTTGGTATGAAAAACCAAACTCGGAAACCTAGTTTGGTCTGCGGTGACGGTAAACAAGCTACAGCATTAAACTGAACAGAAGACATTTCAAGAAGTTACAGTCAATTTTCTTCACACAAGTTTGAGGACTTTAAAAACCGAACCAAACAAATTGGTTATTACTCCCAATGGTTAACTGTGTGTACTTGCACAGTACCAGGTCCAGTGCATTCTGTGCCATAGGGCTTACAAGTTTTACTGGATTCTAAGCCACGTAACACAAAGAATAATCACATCTTCACAGATATGGTCTGCCAAATAGTGCTAACACCAGTTTCACTACTTTCTCTTCCAACATGAGAAAAAAAAAAATTACGAGTTAATCATAGAATTCTAAAATACGGTATTGCCATCAGCCCACACGCTTTCAACCCCCTTGAATCTTGTGGGATTATCAAGTGGTGAGAAGAGCAGCTCAGTTAAGCGAGAAGGTGCACCTGCTCCCCGTTGGTATGTACACTATCTAGTTCAAGTATGATACTAATCCCTTGTCCTGCTCAAAATGAAGACTGTATCTTGTTTCATATAGTTTAATTTCTACAATATCACTCCTCTTCTTTCTGTGTCTTTTTACCACACAAATACTTTATTAATAACAAACCTGTGGAATTTACTAGCATCTAAGACAGCTTTGAGTTTGGACTGATTTCTCACTGTATATAAGAATTGCTACTATAAGAGTTCTTTTTAGATAAAGATTATATTTTCTAAAGAATATAAAATTTAAATTTATTTTAAAATTTCTTTTCTTTGTAACACAACATTTTTGCGGTCTTTATTTTTTTGGCACTGTGCAACCGTCTTACCTGGGAAAGCGAGGATGGTACTTAGGGAAGGCCACTTAAATATTTAATTTTTTATTTTTCCACACTATGACTGCTATCACTACAATACTTGTCAGTTTTTTTGAGGAATATCATAACAGCTTTCTCTTCTGACTCATTCATTCTATTTTCAGTCACGCATTTTCTCACCACGCTGTAAAAATCCCTAATTTTTTTTTTTGTTTTAGTATGTGCAATGAGAATTTTTAAAAAGTCGGTTCATTATTAGCTTGCAGTTAGGGTGGAAAGCCAAGATGGGCTTTTTAACCCTAGATACAAACATGTCCAACAAAACCTTTTCAGAAATCATTTCACTTTTTGTTCAGACCCACTTTTTGTATTATTCACACCCTGTGACCCCATACACGATGCCCTACACCAGTACTTCTATCCACTGCTGCTCTTTAGCGCATTCACTGATCTTGCTGCACGTTGTGGCATCTCGATGACAAGCTTTTACCTGCAAGAGCAAGGAAGCATGAAAGAGGACAAGACAAATCTCTGAGTCTAGGCAGGAAAAGAAGCACATCCACTACAGGAGAGTAGGGGGGAACAGCACCACAGGGACAACTACTAGTCTCATTTTATATGCCACGCTAGCTCATCCCAGCTGTTAGAAACACAGCACTGGTGTACACCACTGCAGCCAAGACTGGATCTACTGGTCATGAGGATCCCAAGCACTCATGTGACACCACACTATCTTTCAGCTGGGAGGTGATCAGTGACTTTGGTATGGATGAGGCCGCTTCACTGGCTGGCCCATATCGCAATCCTCTACCTTCTCTCAAAAAATAACTCTCTACAAAAAATACACCTGCTCTTCTGGTCTTCTCTTTTATTTGTGCGGAGTGAAGAGGTTTCTTCCGCTGTGGTGACCAATTGCCTCATCTCTTATTTCTTGACTCATGGTCTCTCATGAATTAGTCTTAATGACCAATATGCCTTATGGAGTTCTGTTCTGTGGTTGCTCATTTTCACTCCGTGACACAACAACACAGTAGAGTTTTCCAGTCGTTGCTGGCACCATCCTGAGCACAGCCCTAGGAAGATCTTTGTCTGCACAACTGAATGGGCAATCTGGGGACAGAAATCAGTAAAGGAGTAAGGCAATGTTCTTGGAAGATCTAATCTTTCTTAGTTGGAGCTCAGTGAGAATAAATTAACATGTGCCCCCTCCTAGCTGGGATCTTCAAAATGAAGAAGTACAAAAAAATTTCAAGCCATGTTCTGTTTTGATCTCACAAAAACAGGTGCTTCCACAGAACCACAACAAACAAAAGCTGCAATCCTCTGTCCTCACTGCTTAGATTCCCGTTTTGAATCCTGTGGGCTACCTGACAAGTTGAAACTCTAATTAGGTTTGTAATACTCTACGAGACAAAACCTTCTAAAATGAAAACACTATGTATACATAAATATATTATCTGTCAGTGCAGCAGCACAGTAGAAAGGCGCAGTGCTAAAGACTGCTGCACAGACTTTGGGAGTACAGTACAGGTAGACTTCGGGCACTACAAACAGTAGCTGTCCTAACAGTTGTCCACAGTGACTGTGAAAGACAAACATAGCCCTGGCATGCCACGGAACGTCTAACCAACATATCCTTAAGGGTTGTCCTGTCAGTAGCCATTGCGAATACTCAGAAATCTGACCCCAAATTTATCTGTGAGCACCTCTTAGAGACCTCTTACAGAGCTGCGTGAAGACAGCCATGAAAAATATTAATCTCAGATTTTACAGGAACACTAAACAAGGGATGAAATTTCTGTATCTAAAAGATATCGCAACTATTAAACTATGAATTCCAGTAATCCGTTTACACACAGCAACATGAAAAAACTTTCACTGAAACTTGAAAACCTTGCCTGCTACCCAATGAAGACTAGGATAGCAATCACTTTTGCCAATTAGGATTTGACAGAGTAATGCTAATTTCTTAAAAAATTTCTTTTACTGCAAAAATATAGGAAGACTTTACAAAAAGACTCAAAGATAAATTGTATTTTTCTACTGGTTTGAAATATATCATTTTGGGTTTTGGTTTGGTGGGTTTTTTTGTTTGTTTTTTTAACTGTTTGTTAAACTACCTAAACTGTTTAGAGTAGAAAAGATTTTTTGATCACGCTGCAGTTACTCTTATGGCTTATTTACTAAAGCAAGTTAAATATTTATGTAACCATTTCAGCCAAACCAAAAAGACTTGTGGCTATAGTATTTTTTCCTTTTTTTTTTTACAGCAGCCTTAATTCTTAACTTGTTATGGGTCTCTGGTGTTTGGTATTTCAATATTTTATTGATAAAGGTATGCAGTGCTGTAAAAAACATAAAATCTTTATATACTCCAAGGGCAAATAACTTCCATTTCCACTTGGGAATAGTTTATTTTTAATGCTGTTCTTTAAGTTTTTAATTCTTCATGAGGTCTCGAGCAGTTTTGAATTATAACATACATATTTAATAGTAATGACATCCAAGGAAATATTTTCTGTGGTGGAGATATACGCATTAGTAGTAACATATTAAAAAAAAATATGAGGACCTACACAATACTGTTATCATTTAATCCTAAACAGGCAGTAAAACATTATTCAGAAAGGTGTTTTCCTTCCATGTGTTTTCACAGCTGAAAAGGACAGAGGATTGATTTGTCACTTCAAGTAAACTTCCGTTTCTTTAAATCATAAATATTTCAATTATTCACAAGTTAAGTATTTCAGTGTTGTTTGCTGCAAAAGGAAGGTTATTTGGTAGTAACTGGATATTCTTTGAGAAGAACTGTCTATGTGCACATCACCCAGCATTCATAAGCCTAACGGCTCAAACAGGAGATATTTAGCGTGTTAGCACCTGCAAGACTGTTTCATCTCCTGCTTCTGCAACACTCAGCCCATATGCATAAAGAGATGGGAAATGCCCTTCTTCCTTTAACTCTCCTCATCCTGAAGAGACTCTATTAAAAAAATACTAACATAGCAAACCTACCCACAACTTGTGTATTTACTCAGCAGAACTCTTTCTGAAGTCTCTCAGTTTCCACTACAGAAAGCTCTTGGGTTCTGAAATGAATCTTCAAAGAACATATCACTGGACCGTAGAATAATTCAGGCTGGAAGGGGCCTCAGGAAATCATCCAGTTCAAAGCATGGTCAACTATCACTTGAAACCAGGTTGCTTGAGGCATTATTACCCCACTGGGTTTGAAGATACCCAAGAATGCAGAAACTCTCCAGGCAACCTGCTCCACTGCTGAACCATCTGCACAGTGAAAATGTTCTCTCACACCCAGCCTGACACATGCTCATCTCAGTTCGCGTCTGTTGTCCCTTCTCTTCCCACCATGAAGTGCCTGGCTCCATCTTTTCAATAGCCTCCCTGCACGCACTGGCAGACTGCTGTTTGGCTGCCTCAAAGCTCATTACTTGTTCACCTTATTACCGGGCTCCTGAGTGCCATCACTCACACACCCTCACAGCAAATAGACACCAAACACCAGCATCTGCTGCTCCGAGGCTCTCTCCCGCAACACATCCCTTTCCCTTTTGTGAAAAGCCCACCTGAAATCCCCCAACTGCCTATAACTCAGCTCATGAGCACTGCCACATGCTGCTGCTGCCTGTGATACCCTTGAAGCAAGTGAAAACCATGCATAGCCAATAGCCTCTCCCTGGCAAGCCTCAACCCCTCAGCTGTTTTTCTTATCAGGCTACAAGCCCACCTTGGGTTGCCATGAATTGCCCTTCACTCAGCTCACCATGGCCACTGCACACACTTGCCTGCTGCCTGTGCCTTTGCATCAAATGGAAACCCACCACAAGCACCCGCTGCTCCAGAATGAGCCTCCCAAATTGCACTGCTTCTCAACTAGCGGGCCCTTTCTCGTAAGGCCACGAGCTCACCTGAAAACCGCACTCATGACAAACCATCCCAGCAGCTTGTGAATATGCCCAGCACTCTGCTTCCACCTGCACTGCCCTCACAGTAAGCTAACACACGGCACGGGTGTTTGCCCCTGCAAGCAATATTCCCCTCCATGAGCCAACAGACCCCCCCTGCACGTACCTACCCGCAAGGTTTACAAGCTCTCCAGAACCCCCTCAACCCCATCATCACTCGGTTCGTGAATGCTGCCACATGCCAGTGCCCTCCACACTGCCCTGACAGCAAACAGAGAAGTCCAGCACACGGCCACTGCTCTGGGGGGGAGCTTCCAACCCTCCCGTCCCCCCAAACACAGGTCCCTTCCTGCAAAGCTGTCAGCCCGTCGGAACTCCTGCCGCCCCGAACCGCCCCACGCATCGCTTGTGAGTGCCGCCGCACCACCTTCACAGGAACTGAAGCCCAGCAAAGATGTCAGCCGCTTCACGGCAAAGCTGTTCCACCACACACACCACCAAACACCTTCTCCTGAGAGAACGAGTCCACCTGAGCACCCACCTCAGCTGCCCTGGACATAGCTCATGAGCACCACCACACACTGCTGCCTCATGTGTAACCCTCGTAATAAATTACGGCCCAGCGAAAGCAAAGAACAGCCTAGGGTGAGGCCCTCACACCCCCTTCGCCAGCAGACCCCTTCTCTCCAGGCTACGAGCCCAGAAGCAGTCCCACCTTCCACCCGGCCTCACACCTAGTTCGTCACCACTGCTGCCACCACAAGCTCCTGTCACCCACG